CGGCGGCTCGAGTTGTCGGTCAGTCGATCCAAAACGGAGCCTCCGAAGCCGGTCCTGTTTCTCCGGGGCTGATTTCCCACCCCCGCGGTCTTGTCCCTGCATCCGTGCGGGAAATGTGCGGGGGGCGAAGGGCGACCCCCCTGGGGAAGGCGGAGCGGAGTGAGGGGCAGAGGGTGGAGAGGGGCGCAGGCCTCTGTGTCGAGCGCTGCTTTCGTATCTATTGAGTATATTTTGTGTGGCTTTCTGAAGGTCGTAAGCCGGTTGTGCTGCAGACAAGTCAGCGGTGTATGCATGTCCAGTAACTGCGCATATCTGTGTGCGGGGACCAGAAGTCACCAGAAGCGACACTCAGAGTGTTGGTGACTGAAACTTTCTTTTGTCACACCCAGCCCCTGCCCGTGTTCTCACTAAACGAAACTGTTTGTAAGCGCCGACAGGTCCTGCAGGTGTTTTGTGTAGTAAAAAAGTACTTTGTGCTCTTAAAACATGAGATCACACCTGATCTTGTTCAAGAACAAAACTGAGATGTATCAAAATAGGGCTTTTTATCTATTTGACAGTGCTTTGCTGCTTGAAGTGTGTACCTAATTAATAATGTTTGTGTAGGTTGTGGTTTGAGACTTCGGTGCCAAAAGCCTGTCCAGTCAGTGTTGCAGCAATTCTGTGTTGCTCTGCTGAGCTGGATAATAGAGGGAGCAGTTCTGCCTGTACTTGTTTGGTGTTGTTTTTCTGTGCCTGTTTCAGGATTTTCTCTCGTCTCTTGCCACGGTATTTTTCGTACACTTCTCTTGTTCCTTAACTTCTTTGAGGTTAATGATTGTTTTTTAAGCCTTCAAAATAGGATCTGACAAAGAAGTGTCTTCATGCCAAACATATTTGATAAATGTTGGAGGGTTAGAGAGTGTTTTAGACCCATTATAGCAGATTCCCAAGTGTTAACAAAAAGTGGTAACGAATCTCCAAGTGGTTAACAAAACCAGATGAAAAGATGTCTTGAATTGAGCATTTCATAAGGATTCAGAGTGTTTTCTAGACCCAGAAGTTTCCATATCCCTATGCATTTGCTACTATTTCGCTCTCATCTGATGTTTATCACCTTGGAAAACTGCAGAGACTCTGCAAGTCTTGACATGATAGTGTAGGACAGTACCAATACGGAGAGACTTGAGCTGTCCAGAGGCTGTAGAGTCTTTTCTCTCTCGGGATTACATCCACTCCTTGTTACCCCTCCTGAAATTCTCTGAAGGGAGTAGCATTTGTAGCATTTCTAGATGTCTCTCCAACCGAGCAAAATCAGGTAGGCTCTGGAGTTGTATACTCTTAGTGGAATGGCTCTGTTGTCAGTTTAATTCAGCGTAATTTAACACAAGTTTCTTCTTCCTTTGCTGGTTCAGTCCAGCCTTCTCACTTAGTCTGTTTTATTGAGCAGCCAGAAGGTGGATTTGGGCACGGTACTGAACCAAATGAAAATTAACCCCATGTTTTCCACCGACTCTGGGTTAGTCTTCAGCTGTGGTGTGATCTGCTTCGATTTATGAGTTGGCCCCATGGTGCTGAGGCAGCAGTGAGTAGCCTCCATGAAAGAGAGATGAAAGAGATATGAAAGAAAGGTTTAAGGGCAAAGTTCCGTGCTTGCCCCTGGACTGTTTGCTTGTCAGGCTGCTACACGGTGCCTGTGACTCAGCAAATAATACGGATAACTAACCACCTGGCCCAAAGGGACAGGAACAAGTTCTTTTAGCTCGGTCAGGTCCCTGGGGTAGTCCTCAGCAAAGCCTTGTATGAGCTATTTTTGGCACAATTGCTAGGAGCAGCAGTAGTGTGCTTCTCTCTAAGGTCTTCTGGATAGCCCAGGAAGAAGCCTGGGGGCAACATCAGGGTGTGGGGTTGTTACTCTGTTTTGCTGCCTTCATGCCATTGAAAGCCACTTCGGTTTTCACATTCATCCCTATCCTTGAAGCTGCAATTCTTGCTTAGCCTACTCTGGGGTGTTTCCCAGATGATCTGAGCATATTCGTTGCCTCTTTCAGATCCCACAAGCCCTTGTCAGTGGTGCAAGCTTGACCTTCGCCAGTGCGGAAAGTCCTTTTCTATAAATCATGCAGCCTGGGGTCCAAATACTTGAGAGACAGAGAGGCACCCTCTCTCTGACAGGGCAGGTGAAGAACAGGGATGGGAGAGCCTGAAGACAGTGATCATGAGCAGCTTGATGGATTTCCACGTGCCTGTATTTTTCCAGTGTTACTTAAAATAACTGGGCGCTACGTGGCGGCTGTAGGAAAGGAGCACGTGAGCTCCATTGTACAAGTGGGTGAAAGTTCACGGGCTGCTTCCCTCTTGCTTGTGCCTGCAGAAGCAGAGAGCTGCTGTCACAAGCCGTGGAAGTTCAGTGTGGTTCAGGGACAGCTTCAGCCAAGCTGAAATTCACATAGGCTGCTCCCGGCCACTGCATTTGCACACACGCGGTTGCACGTGCTCTCTTGTCGATTGAAAACTGTGTTTTCTTTCTCAGAAACTGGAAGGCTGGTGTCTACTGCAGCCTAGATGACCCATGTAATTCTAAAAGTAGCATGACATTTTTGATTAGGAAGTGTTTTTCTTCTTAAGGTAAAGGAATCAAAGTTAAAATGCATATTAAAAAGTGGAGGTTTTTGGTTTACTGGTTTTGGTTTTTAATTTGTGAAAAGTGTTTCAGAGTATAAGCCAAAAATCTGCTGATTTTTCTAGCGTGGGGAAATGCCATCTTCACTTTTTAGAAGAGCAGTTTCTAATCCTGTTATTTCAGAGGTGTCTGCGACAGGATTTCATGGATGTTACTTTCATGCTTTTAGTACATTACCACTAATGCCTGATGTGGTGTGACAGCCTCCTTTGTCCACCTGGTATCTGAGATCTCCCTTCTTTTCAAACTTCTTTGTGGGAAGGAGGTATTTCTGGAATCTTCCCAGCTTTTCTTTCTGACCATTAGTTCTGCATACCTTCCCTGTCTAAAGCCTTGCTATATCTGACTTATCTTGAGCTGTGTGGGTTCACGTTGCCTATATTTACAAAGCTTCTTGTGAATTTAGGACATTATCCAGCTGAAGCTGGCTTGCTGCTTTTCTGTGTGTTCAGTTCCCTACATCTGGATAATTCTTGCTTCCGTTGCAGGTGTCTTCATCGTTGCAGCGAAGCGAACTCCTTTTGGGACCTATGGAGGTTCCCTCAAGGGCTTCACGGCCACTGATCTTACAGAACATGCTGCTCGAGCGGCGCTGGCTGCTGGCAAGATCTCTCCTGAGGTCATCGACAGCGTCGTCGTTGGCAATGTCATGCAGGTTGGTGGCATGGAAAATTTACTGGTCGAGGTGATTTCTGGGGTCCTCTAGATAGTTACCTCTGGTTTGTAGCCAAGAGTAAACCGAAGGGGTGGAAATGAAATGGGTACGTGGCCTTTATAGTGTAGTCTTTTGCATTTAAGGGGCATACCCTGCGTGATTTGCGGTATTATTGGGAGCAAGGCTTAGCTTTCTCTTTTTAATACCTAGGGTAGTTTAACCTAGGACACGCTGATCTTCTGAAAAAAATACAGATTTATTAAATGGTTAGCTGCTAATCCCTGGCGCGTTTTTTGTGTTTTAATGGCTTGAGCTGTGGAACTCCAATGATCAGTGAGTTTTCACTGAATTTTATAAAACCCTTTCTGGAGACTGTAACTGATTTAAGTCCATTACCCTTGAGTTTTCTATAGATTTTTTTTTTTTTTTTTTTTGTCAGTGAACGTGAGTGTACTTGGAGCTGGAGGGATACATGACTTGTTTGGCAGAGCCTTTTGGACAATCACCTCTTTTTCAAAGAGCTTGTGATGTAGACGCTGTTTTATGCAAGGCACCAGCATTGGAAAACTGTAGTTTATTCACATGTCTAGATGAAGATCTTTGTTCTAGGCAGGACAGCAAAGAGCATTTCTGGTTTTGTTTTGTTTTCTGACTTCACAGTTATTAAGGGTAGGCAAGTCTTGTTTTGCACTAGGTGTTTCAAGGATAGAAGAAAGAACAGGTACCTGAGAAGTTTCATGAAAAGCGAATAAGCGGGCAGTGTTCCTTTTTAAGGATTTTCAGCCAAAAACGATAGCTTTTGATTATTCTGTCTCCTACAGCTACCATCTCAGCTTCTTTTATTCAGCTTTTTAGGTTTCGTAAGAACTGTTTGTGTCCTAGGAAGAAAATAAAAGCCACATCCAAATCCCTTGGAATGTTTTCATATAAATAGTAGCATTCTTCTAGCTAAAGTATCTTCTGATGTTGAAATTCCAGTTCTCTTCCCTTGCATCATACTTCTCCATCCCAGTAGATTTTCTTTTTTTAGTCCTGGATTCCTTTAAGTATTTTATGATTAAGTTTAAATAACTATGAGTGTGTGACCATCTTAAATTCCCCTTCCGCAGCAGAAGTGACTTGATTTTTATTTTTTTCCCCTGAACTTGTGTTGGCACATAGCACTGTGCACAGAACTTTGTCCTTATAATACGTGTTAACTTCGGGCACGATCCCCAGGAGCAAGAGTGTTTTGAAAAGATCCATTACAAACCTACAGCAGTTTTTTGTTGTTTACCTGTGCTCACCATCCTCTGCTGACTCATTAGTTGAATTCCGAAGCCTGCTTGTCTTTGTTGCGTCTCACGTTGGAGGTTCTGAAGCACACTGCTCGGTGCGCAGTACTTTGCTTTTCAGATAGAAATGCAGTAGAACTGTCTTTGAAGGAGGACATTCCTTTGGAGGAATGAGATTTCGTAGTTAGAACAGGCCTGCGTCCAATTTGTACATCACAGTTCAGAAATTTCACAAAGTGGATGTGAAGCAGCGGTGTCATCTCCTCATTTTCCTCACTGTCTGTTTTTTGAGTGCCTTCCCTTGCTAGTCTGAGGAATTTTAATGTATGTTTAATTGCTTCTTGCCAGTCAGGATCTGCTCTTCCGTCAGTCACTTGTGTGTGTGCTGTTTTGAAAATATGGGATCGGGGAAAACATAATGTGCTGACTTCAGTCGTAACTTCTCTAGTCCCATTTTTCACCTGCTGTCTAGTTTTTATGACACACAGTTTCTTTAAAAAGCATTTTAATACACTGGCCCTTTTTGATCATAGAGGATGGTGTCTTTTTGAAGCGAATCAAAGTGCTGCTTACAGTGTGTGGGATTTCTGTTGAACATAACGCTGTCTCCTGTCAGTGATGTGATTATACCATTCTGGCTTTTCAGCAACGTTTTTACTTCTCAAAGAAACTGGAGTGTAACAAAACCTGTTATTTATTCTGTCTGCAGAGTGCCGCGGATGGCATTTATATTGCCAGACATGTCGGTTTACGTGTGGGAGTTCCTGTTCCAGTTCCAGCCCTCACTGTCAACAGACTCTGTGGCTCTGGTTTCCAATCCATTGCCACTGGATGTCAGGTACAAAGCTCTTCTATTTTTTCTGTATTAATTGTAACCTTTATCAGACTGTTACTGTGAGAGAACAGATGTGTGTAGAAATGTGTACTTTGTGTTCAGGACGAGGCTTATCACGAATTTTTAGCTACCACTGGTAGAGGCTTCCTGTTGTCCTGAATGGTTTTGTGTAGGAGTTCAGCCTTCACAGTGACTTTTTGTGGTTGCGTTTAAAAATCGTTGTTTTAGCTATTTTGAGTTTTATTTAAGGAGTGCAACAAGGGTTGGGCAGTGAGTTAGAGCTCAGCTGTGTAATAGTTGCACTCTGTGATCTGGTTTGTGTGAACTGCGATTGCTGCCCCCAGAACCGCAACAGGAGACTTTCATCTTTTGACTGTTGTTTATATTCTCACCTAGCTAGCTGTGGAAGCAGCAGCCTGGGCTCTTTAATTGTTTTTGTCCAAAGATCCAGACCCTCTCATAGGTCAGGTAATTTGTACTGTCGCTTCTAAAATAGACGAAAATCAGCTTCTCTTTGAACAGCTGGCCAAAACTATGGAGTAAGATGCTGCAGTGGCACAGTGATTTTTGTTTCATTTGCTCATAAAGACCAGAGGTCTATGACTAACAGTGGTCTAGACTTTACAAAATTAAAGGGTATTTTATGAGTATTTGAGCAACCACATAGTTGGTTTTTTCTGTTGTGGTTTTTTTTTTTTTAAAGTTCCCGTTGTCTGGAGCATTATTTTAGGTCTGATCCTCCAGAGGAAAAAAATATGAAAGACAGTGTAGAATTAAGTCTAGATGTTTATGATAATATCCATCTAACTTATTTTTTCTAGCGCGTTCTGCAAAGGCTATATGTGCTGAAAAAATCTGTTGGACAGTTCCACCTGTTATATTGAGAATATGGTTGTGATATCTTTTCCACAGATGGCGTTTCATCAGTGCAGCTAATGTTTCTGTATTTCTCTGGCACACAACAAAGCTGCAACTCTCTTCTGAGCTGCGTAAATGTGCACAGTGTTTGGTACCTACAGGAAGCATCTCAGCACTTATCACTATAAATTGGTCATGCTAATTATTAACTAGTCGCCTCAAATGCATATCGAGAGAATTTCATCTTCTTCCATTCCAGTACACAAATAACCTCAACTGTCCAACTGGGTGAATTGTTGTTAGAAATCAGAATTTCTGGGCGGTCTAACGGTGTGGTCAGGGAATTAGGTCGTTTAGGTTCTGTGCACTTTGCCAATGACAAGGTAGTGCGTTTTGGAGGTTTCTTGTGGCAGCTCACCTGGCTAATGCTTTCTAAAGTGACGTCCCATTTTTTTTAGAATCATAAGATCTAGTTTTGGGCGTCGAGATTTAATTTGTGTTGCTTTTGAGAAGATTAGGAGCTCAAAAAAAAGAAGCAGCTCAACCATCTGTGCACCTAACCACACAAGCAGGCAGATGCTTAATAGCTCTGTTGTTCTGTCCTGTCACATCTGTGCGTCCTTGTTCTCTTCCTCCCTCAATGATATAATCATTCCTTGCTGCAAGGAGGAGGAAGGAACACGTAATGAAAGAGAGAAACCACGTTCTGAGTAGAAGGGTAAGATCTTCATAAATATACACATGACTAAACTGGAATTCATTCTCTGTGTGTGGCTTTGTAGTTGAGGAAGTCCTTTCCTAAAACAATTGTTACTCTCTTACAAAACAAGCAAACTAAATCCTAGATCTGTTTTGTTTTTCTTTAACAGGAAATTTGCCTTAATGATTCAGAAGTTGTTCTCTGTGGCGGAGCTGAAAATATGAGCCAGGCTCCTTATGCAGTTCGGAACATTCGCTTTGGAACCAGGCTAGGAGCAGAACTCAAGGTCTTGTACTTCTGTTTTACTTTTTTTTGGTTTCTTCCTCTGGATAAAGTCAGGTTTACAGAGCAAAGTGAAGTATGAGGCCTGTAGACACTGCATCCTTGCAGATGAAATTATTGGAGATCAGATCCCAATGTAGTTGTTCAGGGTGTTTATCCAGTATTCAGACTGGGAATTTTGTTAACCACACCAGTTTTCCAGCTTTTCAAAAAACATACTTGAACTCCTGTTTCATGCTAAACGTATTAATAAACTTCTAGACACAAAACTTAGTTCTCTTGGTACATCCTATCCAAGCTTGTCAGAGACTGTGAAATAGAGGCACACACAACTTAGATAAAGCTGGTAAAGGTAGCAGTGGGTAGGTAGACTGGTAAAGAACGGGTATACCTCTCAATTTTAAAAGTGGAAACCTGTGCTAGAGCGCATTAACTAAAGTAACACACAAGAACATGTATACTGTTTGGCAGTGTTTGTTCTAATTGAAATAAAGTATCTGTAGGTAACCTGAGTTAATTTTAGAAAGGAGCTTTAGTTTCCAAGATGCTGCTGAATAATTAGAAACTGTCAATAATAAATGTTAGTATTGCGGTGCTTTATAATTTTCTTTTCATAACGTTCCATGCAGCTGGAAGACACGTTGTGGGAAGGTCTCACGGATACGCATGTTAAAATACCGATGGCGGTTACAGCTGAAAACCTGGCTGCAAAGTACAACATCACACGAGAGGACTGCGACCGATACGCGTTCAAAACGCAACAGAGATGCAAAGCTGGTGAGTCAGTTGAGGAGTGGAAGTGTTTATATGCTATTAGTTTCAAATCCAGTTAGTTTTCTGCATCAGTTCCAAGTTTTATGTAGCTGGTGGGTCTTGGTGTAGTTTTGTCTTTTGGTTTGCAGATACAGTAATTCTTGCTTTTCTTTGCACTGTGATACAAGTAGCCCCCTCCTGTGGGGTCTGAATATACTGTGCCCGGAATTTTAAGTCAGGAGCCCCTTTCCACCACCTTTCAGTGCTGTCCCAGGGGACGTTCAGTAGCTGTTCAGGCAGCAAACCCCTTTACCTGTCACATGTCACCTTCTGCCTGAGCAGGAGGTATGTTCCTGAATATAGCTTGTTGGTGCCCTTTTAGTGGGACACTTTGGCCTTGTCTTCCCTGCAGGAGAGCTGTGTTGTCCCAGGTGTGCCTGACTCTCCTCTTTTGACACTTCAAAACTGTCCTCTTCCACACCTCTTGCGTGCCAGCATGTTCTGTAATTAATGCATCTAGATCCTTTGTCTTTCTTCTGCAAATCATCCTCTGTTCTACAGCCTTTGAACAGTTACAACAGATGGCATCTGAAGAGGGGAATGTTGCTTCAGGACCTGTGTTTAAGCCGTTTTCTGTGTGGTTTATGTGGCGAAAGCCATATTTCAAGGGCATTGGGTTGCTGTGAAATTGGATGATAGAGCAAGCAGGGTGGTAGCCAAAAGCCAGCAGAGTATGTAGTGGTTATCCTGGGACTTCAGCATGCGTTGTAACCCAAAAGGAAGTGTAAGAAGCAAAGATACTTTTAAATTCTAATGATCATGCTTTTCAACAGCTGCTACTCTTGAAGGAAAATCTTCTATTTTTTCAGTGGGTGTAGCAGTGCTATTTGTAACTTTTCTCAGTCCTTGTCAGCTATCTCCTGCCAGTCCTGGAGGCCTTAATAGAAGTTGTGCCTCTGAAGAGACTTTTGCTTCTTTCTCATTTTCTAGGATTTGACCTTGCTGGTTTTATTTCCGCTTGTTGTGATCAGTTCATCTTACTCTACACTAAAGAGAGAGTCCTGTGGCTAATCATGGAAGAAAAAGATTTTGTGCGATTTATTGAGAAAGTTCGGAGGCAGCGAAACAGCGTCAGATATGGCAGTTTCAGTCCCTTAGCTTTAAATCCTGCAGAGTTGTGTCTGTTGAGAGATTTGAAGTGTCTGGGAGTTTTGGGAGATAGCAGTTTGGGTTTAAATCTGTGTGGATCACATCAACATTGTGGATGCATTTATTTGCATCTAATGTCATCTTAGGTGATAGAGCCAGATGTTCTTATGGGCATCTTAGATACCTGCAATGTCTTGAATTGTGTCAGAGTGTTTTTAGGCAGCTGAATTTATTTTAAGAGTATGACTTGACTGAGAGGTCCTGTGGAGAAACAGCTTGGACAGGATTTTAATTGATACACAATAGCTTATACCTGTTAGCAACAGGGAAAATGTGTCTCAGGATTTTTTCCCACGTTCCTCTGAGTGAGATTTACAGCTTCTTGGCCCTCTGATAAGTGACGGAGCTGTAGAGGAAAGCAGCAATGCAGGAGAATGTGTGCCAAAAATAGTGGTTAAAAAAAGGGCAAGTTCAGTTATTTAAAGCTGAAATAACACTAGTATTTGAAGCTTTCTTTGGAGAAGTTTGAAAATGTATTTGTGGAGGTTTTGCCCAGTTTTTAAAAAAAAACACTGAATAAACAGAACACCAGCCACGCTATTTAACCAAAATAAACAGCACTGTCCCTGAACTGTTGGTTAAAATAGAGCAAAAGTTGTGTGCACATGAAAATAGGATTACTGGTCATGCTGTGCAATCATCTTGATATTTTTATCAGAGTAATTTTATTTTCCTTTTTGTGTTTTCAGCTCAAGATGCTGGTTACTTTAATGCTGAGATGGCGCCAATTGAAGTAAAGACGAAAAAGGGAAAAGAAAGTATGCAAAAGGATGAGCACCCAAAACCCCAGACCACTCTGGAACAACTGGCAAAGCTCCAGCCTGTCTTTAAAAAGGATGGAACAGTCACTGCTGGGAATGCTTCAGTGAGTACGTCAAAGCCTTGGGCTGTGAAAGTGTCATCTCTAAGGTTCCTCAAATTTATTACCACTGTATTTATCTCTCGCTGAGCTACCTTTGGCTCTCAGTGGTGTCTCCTGGTGAAAATGATTTCTGACTCTGCAGCCGAACGCCCCTGGTTGACTGTTGCAGTGCCGAGATGTCAAGGGATCCTCCAGTCTGCTCCCGTGTCCCAAAATGCGGTTCTGTGAGTTGTCAGTGCAGCACTGGCACTTCCTTATCAGCCTTGAGTCACGCACTTGATACCTGCAGTGGCTGCGTAGAGTTAATCATTCTCCTTTCTTTTGGGAGCAGTGATTACTGAACACCTGCTGTACCAATCATGTGTTATCGTGGTGGGCATGCTGCTGCTGCTCATCTTTGTGCCGTGGTTAGGATCCCCTATAGTCCAAACCGCATTTTGCTCTTACTCTGAGGAGACTGGGGGCTTAGCAGCAGGTCGTTATGGACCTTTCCTCCTACAGTCCTAATCATTTGGTTAATATTTGGGCCAGAAGGGCCATTGTGGTCATACGATCTGAATTTCTGCCTAAAACAGATCGCAAACACAGTAAGTATGTCTGTCTGTAAAGTATCTTTTATAATTAATAGTACATACATTATTTAGTATTGAGTGTTCTCATGAGTTGACAGAATGGTATTTCCAGTGTAAGAGAGGCTTTAAGTGGCAAAATTTTATTTTTCTAGAACTTTGAAATGATTTTGACATCTATATTTAACTGTCTTTCACAGTCCGTGGAACAGTGAGAGATTGTGGTTTGCTGTTTTGAACAAACACTAATACAGTTGCCTGTTAAATGTTAGTAGTAGTGTCTTGGACTCAAGGGTTTTTTGAGGAGCGTGTTTAAAGTGTTGGGGTTTTTTTGTTTATTTGTATTTTCTCCACTAAGAATGCTCTTCTCTTGTACTGCAAGGGGGTGTGTGATGGAGCTGGTGCAGTCATCATTGCCAGTGAATCGGCGCTTAAAAAGCACAGTCTTACTCCTCTGGCACGAATAGTAGCGTATCACTCCTCCGGCTGTGACCCTTCCATAATGGGCATTGGTAAGTTGCAGTAAAGCACGTTATTTTAGAGCATTAAGCAGCATCAAAATACTCTTGTGTCTGACATTCCAAAGGAAAGAAACGGAGGCTGCAGTGTGCTGAGCCAGCTAGCGCTGAAGACGTTTTGTGTGGCTTACTACGGAGAGATTGTCCATCCCTCTGCATCGCACCCTCCCTCTCACGCAGAGGGACCAACTTACTCCTCAGTTTGGCTCAAAGTGTACGTGCAGTGCCTGACCTGTAGCGTTAGCACTGAGCTGTAGTCACCCAGGCACCTTTTCCTGCCTTTCTCTGTTGGTAACTCAAGAAAATAGGCACTCCCAGTGTTCTCTAAAACCATTTTTCTCCTGAAATTCACTTTAGTTTTCTGTAAGCTTTAAATATCATTATTAAATGTGTAATGAGGAGTTGTCTTACTCACCTCTCGCTGAAGGAGTATTGGCACTTTGTACACCTTTCAGCAGTCGCTCAAGGTAAGTTTGGGTTCCAGGATATGAATCTGTTCGGGCAGTATTTTGGCAAACCAACTACTGCTCTTTTTGTTTTTTTTGTTAATCCCGTGTTTTATGCTTTCTAATCATGTTGTTAATGCAAGCAAACTCTCAAAACCAATCCAGACACCCTGGGACATTTCCCTTCTGTTTAGTTTGTAGACAGCATTGTATCCCAGCATTGCTTTTCCTTTCTGCCGTTCTGTTCAGAGAAGTCATTGTTGACTGGTTCCATGTGCCAGTAGAAATGCAAATGAGGCATTGTCAGATTTGTTTTCCTGATCAGACTATCTGACCAACACAACCTTCAAAGCAGATGTAGAGGGAGGGTTTCTTTCACTAGATTTCATGCTGTCATTGTGCTTTCTACACTAGCCCATTCTTTCTAGGTCAGGCAACTCTTTTAGCTTGTTTAAAAACTTCATAAATCATATGGAGAAACAGTTAGTAGCCTAACTCCTTAACACCACAGCTTTCCCCCAACAACTCGGAAAGACCAGATGAGATTCATTGACATGACAGCAGCAGATCTGAGAACAGGAACTCAGACTAAGCAACTGCCTTTTCACATACTGATAGTGATAGGGAGTCCTGCTTCACAATGTCTAGCAAGAGAATTCATTATTTTTGAGAAAAGAAGTGAGAGGAGCAGGGAAAAGTCTACTTGGCTGTCATTAATCGTCTTTGTATTGTCCACATGAGACCCTCCCTTTACTCTCACACATAACAAGCATACTAAGATCTCTCCGTAATGAGATGCATTTAGAGGCTGGTACTAAGCTGGCTGAGGCTTTTTAATGATCCACTGAGCTCTGAACTGGGCCGTTCTTTAAATTGCCCTGTATCTTTGGTAATTTATGTATTTTTATGGGTTTTATTCTTCGAGCTGTGAGTTGTGAACACCATTTTTTGGTAATGAGATAACATTTAGCATTGTTAATGTTTTAAAATCAGGGGTTTTGTCTGAGGATCATTTACCATGTAACACCACAATATCCTGCAAGCACATCTCTGGTTAACTTTTTAAATTCTCTTTTGATTGCCTCTCTCCTGGGCTAGGCGAGCTTTGAGATCAATATCTCTTATTATACTAGGTCACAGATGTCAGCATTCTTCAAGAGAACAGTTTTATTGCCAAACTCTGTAATATTCTCAAAAAATAATATAAACCCCCCCCACCCAAATGAACCAATCTTACTGGCTTCAGCTGACTGGGACCATGGTCCAAGGGAACATCGTATTGTTAGTGTTTCTGACTAGAAGATTTTTCAGGTAAATTAGATTAAGAACACCAAAACAACAGTACCCCTAACTAAACACATGACCAGCAAACTCCAGAACAGCCTGTTTGGGTGGGTTTTGTTGCTTTTTTTTTTTTTTTGGCTTCTTTTTTTTTTTCTGTGTGTATACCAGGAAGTTGCAAGTTACGAGAATAAGCTGACTCAAGAGTACTAGGAAGGAGAATGCCTCAAAACTGTCTTGAAGTTGTTTATTTGGCTGAGGACTGTCAGTTCTCTTGACTTGAAAGCTATGTGTGTGTTTACCAACATAGTTGTGCAGAGCAGTAATGACACTCCTGACTTTGCCTGGCAGCGTGTTGGGAAGACTGCCAAATAGATTTGAGATTTAGGAGCTCTCTTGCCACCTAATAAATCAGGTGAGTGGCATATCCAGAATTCACTGGCTGCACAGAGGCTCATGTGAGGGAATCTGCTGGTGCTTTGTGAAGCTGTTCTATGAATAACATGTTTATAAGCCTTTATTTGTTCAGGTAACTGTATATGCAATTTCCAAATAGGTCCTGTACCTGCAATTACCGAGGTTCTGAAGAAAGCAGGCTTGACCTTGAAGGACATGGATTTGGTAGAGGTAAGGGGTTTTAACGTGAATGGTGAGGTCACTTCAGGAATGTTCTGCTCATGCTTGCAGTCATCACCAGGTACGTGTTTCTACATGTCTGCAGCCCACCTGTCTGAGCTCACCTGCCTGACCTCTGTCCATCCAGTTTATACCACACAGTTGCACAGTCAGTCATTACAAAGATCTCAAGCACGTGGAAGTTGAAAATGGCATGATAGCATTCCATGGGAATAAAAAAAATCCCCACGTGATACGCAGCTTTACTCTGCTGGCCAGACTGTTATGTTTTAAGTTAGTCACACTTCTCCGTTTGTGAACAAGGTCATTTTTTTTGTCAGAGCAATAGGCTCTTCATGAACACACGCATCAGAGTATACCGCGCATTTTTTTATAGAATACACTACATACTTTGTGTCACATGTACCAGAAGGGTTTGAAAATTTGTAAATACATTGGGTTTTCCAGGCAGTTTTTCTGAGTACACTTTTATAAACACCACGTTCAGTAATTTTCTTAGTCAAAATGACTTTGAGAAGAAGCGCACCTCGTCTGATCTTGTGTGCAGGCATCTGCGGACAGTCCATCGTGAGCAATTGTCTGGTTTCTCTGCTGTTCCAGGTGAATGAGGCGTTTGCACCTCAGTATCTAGCTGTCGAAAAGGTTCTGGGCCTTGACCCTGAGAAAACCAACGTCAACGGAGGTGCCATTGCTATAGGTCATCCTTTGGGTGCTTCAGGAGCGCGGATCACAGCTCACCTGGTTCATGAATTGCGGTATGTTGCAGCCGATACCTGCTGGTAATGAATGCAGTGCTGACGTATTTATGCCTGGAAAAGATTTTTGGCGTGGATACTGTGTGACTGAAATCTTCCAGTCAAGCAGCTTAAAACTCTCCTCTCTGCAGCATATGGCTTTCTGCAGGAATTTGTTACCTTTGTGCTGTGGTCCTCTGCTGCAGCTTGCCTCCGGTTCCATTCTGTTGGTGTTACAGGACTTTTTGCTTCCTCTAGATCTGATCCAAGCCCACAGCAGTCAGAGGGAAGGTTTTTCCTGTCCTGACATTGCCTTTAAGCCTTTTCCTGTCTTGACATTGCCTTTAAGCCTGTTTTCTTAACAGGATACATTGAAAAGGCTTAGTCATCACCTTCTTTAGTCAGTTTTCAGAATTTTTCACTCTTTTGGCTTGCTTAATATGCTCAGCACTGTTCTATTCTGAATTTTCCTTTTTTTTTCCCCCTTCAGGTTAGTTAGAGATCTCTATTTTTTTTCTTGTACTTCCAATACTGTATCGGTGTTCAACCATAAAACCTCAATTAATTTCCAGCTTGCAGAAGACTGTTTCTTGTGGTGTGGCTGTAGAAAACTTAGGTTTAAAAAACTACCTTGGCAACAGAATTACGTTTTACTTAGGCTGTTTTGATCACATGTTGAAACCACAGGTATCCCGTAATGTCATTCCTTGCCATTTTGTCTTGAACGTACTGTGTTTTAGATGTCAGAAGACAGACCTGCAGCTCCTTGTTTTTCCACAGGAATATTTCAGCGTGGGTTGAGGTTTCATGATATTTTTCTAGAAAAATACCAACATGCACATCCTAAAACATCACCTTTACTACTACCTCGCTGGTAGCTACTTTGCTTTCACAAAATGAGGGCAACAGCTACTATGGTTTCATAAATGTAAGTAATTTTCACCGTTACTTTTTCTGTGCAGGCGTCGTGGTGGGAAATACGCAGTTGGGTCAGCTTGCATCGGCGGTGGACAAGGTATTGCCCTTATCATTGAGAACACGGCCTGAGAGATGCTGGAAACCTCGGTGTTGTCCAAATTACCAGTTCCCTGGGATACCTCTGCGTTTTGTGACAAGGGAGTGTCAGTACCCGCCTTCGTTTTGTGCCATTCCTGCAAGGTAAAGGAATAGCCGAGGTCTGAATGATGAACAAAAAGATTCACTAATGTCTTTCTAACTATAGGAAGTGTAACGTCAATATAATTTCACACTGATGAAGTATTTTCTAAAAGCCTCTTTTCAGTCAAAGTTAATGTATTTCTGTAGGCGAAATTCTTTTAATTTCCTCAGGAAGTTGCCTGTCAAAATTTCACCAAACCTGCCTTAAAATAGAAGCCAGTGCAGCTTTTTAAGCAAGTATTGCTTAAACTATTCTTATTTCAGTTACTGCTGCTGTCTGGCACATGTGCCTCTTTTATCATCAGGAAATGTGAAAATTTAATTTGAGACCTTTTGAGGTATATACTGATTGGGGATTGATGGCTATACCATGTACCTTGCTGTTTTTAAGGGGATAGAAAATGAGTGAAAGCTGAAATTTCCATTGTGCCTCCCAAAAGAATAATAAATATGACAGAAAAAAAAAAAGAAGGCTTGGCATTCGTTTGTTTATTTTAAAAGTAAATCACCGTGAGAATTTTCACTTTCGGCGATTTTTTTGGAAATTATTTTTCCAGGCTGAGGAGTAAGTGGTATTTACTGGGTAGTTTCTAGAGAGCTCTAGCAAAACTTCCAGCCTTCCAAGAAGGAACGTAGTGGCATCTGACTGTGCTGTTACGTGGTAGCTGCATGCATACATCAATTTATTTCTTAATTTTCCGTTACAGTATCATCCGTATCCCTTGGGATTCTTAATGTGAGGCTGTTCTTAGCTAATCTGAGAAGTGCTCGTATGAGCAGGTCGTCTTGCCGTGGAGTTCAAGTGATGAATCATTTGACATTGGACAGTTCCTGTGTCAGAGACAGCACACGCTTCTGTGTAGCCTGTATTGTCCTACGTAGACTAAAATAGTAGCAAAGGCTATTCCTCATCCTCTGCCCAGTGTCAAAATATTGCTTATCTGTGATTTCTTCTTGCCACCCCACTGGCATGATCTGTGATGATTGTGAAAGACAGGAGGTGGTTGGAAACCTGACTGTCTAGACTAGCAAGAAATTCAGGTCGAGGCAAGTGTTGTTAAAGCTGATGGGTAAGAGCTGAAGTATGCCCATCACCCTTTCTGGAGTTTTTGTGGATGCAGTGTCCGTAATGGCTGTAGAAAAATTAAGTGCAGTTTTAAAGAACACAGCTGCCATGAGGCAGCAAACCAGATGTTCATTTAACTTCTTTCCCTCTTTCTACTGTATCTTGGTAAGTTGGGGTTACTGGGCTGTCACTGTTCAAGATACAGATGCCTCTTGGATTTTATAAAGCAGGATGTTTTCTATTAGTTCCTTCCCTAATAACCAATAACTAATTTCCTCTTCCCTCTTGACTGTGGATAGTTACTGAACTGTATTTTCAGAGAACTGGCCACAGTTTTTCAAAGATCTCGATTTCTTTACACACTGTAAAGAAATAACCCCTATCATGCACTGTATTTGGCACATAACATTTCATTTCCTCCTTTTATCACTCATTTTTTTTGAGATGCACAGGTAATTCCAGCTGTGAGAGTTCAATTGGCTCATCTTGAATAATTGCACTTTTCCGGCAAAATGCTTCATGATGTCCACTTTATTCCCCAGATAACTTATGAACATGGTATCAGCACAGAAGGCTGTACATCCTGCTAGTAATTTTTCTTTGCTGTGTGAGCCAGCTGTTAATCCCTTATCATTCCCTTTTTATCCTGTTCGTTTCCTGTAGGAGCCTCCGATGAGGGCCTTTATCACACTCAAGTGAAACAGTGAAATCCTTTCCAGGGAGGTTGTTGTATTGCACTTCTAATACATGCAACTTCTTCCAGAACTGCCAGATTTTAAAGTTCAACATTTGTGGCAATGGTGAGGGAAAATGCTCTTGGGGGTAAATTTGATTTCTTTCTTTTTGCCTGCCTGTGGCTTCAGGTCACTCTGCCTGGTGGTATAAACACTCTGTCTAAAGGATGCTGAGGTCAGTATGTTTCGGGAGAATGCAATCCTTCTGTAGCCTTGAAACCAAAGTAATATTAAGGATGAGCACAACCACTGACATTTGATTCCTGACCAAATCGTCCACACCCTATAGGGGTGCCTAGCCATGAGGATTTGCTCTGAGCTTGTCTTTACTAGCAAGTTGAATCGTTTATTACAAAATAATAGCAGTAACATTTGATCCTAACATAGCGGTAACATTTGATTCCTGTGTGTGTTCTCCAGTTTCCAGGGTATAACAATGGTAGAGCTGTGTTTCTGCCTTTGGGAAATGAAGGTATCTCTGCTGGGAGCAGTCGGGATTGGGGCGATTTGACAGCGACCTGTAAGGAGCAGGAGATATTGAAAAAGTGTGTTACGCACATTTACCAAGGGCATACTTTTCTTTTTCGTTTTAGGCTCAGGTGTATTCTTTATTTTTATGTGAGTAGTCTATTGTACAGTATAATGAAAATGTTGATTTTGTCTTCCTTAAAATGTGTGAGAAAAGAAAGCACTTGTGTAAACGTTGACCGTGTGAATATTCACTCATAAATGCAGCTGCCGCTTTCTACCACAGGGGGGTGCGTGTTAAACACCCTGCAGATCTCGGTCTATTACAGAGGCATTTGGCCTCCTCCGAGCATTGAAACTGAACCATCTAAATTTTCAGGTCCCATTTCTCCTTTTGTGGGTTCTAAGCAGGCAGGTGCCATGATACCAGCACATCTGTGCTACTCCTTTCTGGACTATCTTTAAGCCAGTGACTAGGAAGGGATGTTTTGTAGCATTTTATTTTAAAACAAATAAACCTTGACGCTCCTAAAGTGCGCAATTTCAGGCAAGTCTCGCCCCTTTGTAAGAGTATTTCTAATAAGCGCTTCCTCAATCTGTAAATCCAGACATTTTCCATCTGGTGTGATGCTCTTAGGCTGGGCAGGGCTCTGTCTTGCCTCTCCACCTTGCAAAGCCTGTGCCATCAGACTGGGTTAGCCGGACGCTGCACAGGGGTGCCGAGGGGGGTCAGAGGGCAAATTAATCCTTCTGAGAGTTCACAGGCGAAGGGTTTATTGGCGGGGCTGCAGTTGTCCTCTTCTGGAAACATCTACAAGGAACTAATGATGTCTTTGCTGATTTAGGTACGTTTGCATCAAAAATGAAGATGAAACGAACAGGGAGATTTGAGCACGAGTTAAGTCTGAATTACACGTAGGATTGTTGGGTTTATTTATCTAATGGGAGAAGTATTTCTCATGGAAGGTAAGATAAAAAAAGGTAACTCAGCTTATTTAAGGCTGCTGTTTTCTGACAAATCCAGCTGCAGAGCTAGTAATGCTAGATCGGAATGGTGTAGCCATGAGAATCACAGGGCAGATCAGGTGTAAACTCAGGCTGCTAATCCACAGCTATTTGAAACTGTCAGCATGATAAATTCATCCTGGCAGGTGCTAAGCCAGAGCAGCTATTGTTTTCCCTTGGATGGTCATGCTTTCACTCTGATTCAGCAGAACCGGGGCTGTGTTCTCACACCCTACCTGGGCTGAGTCTGAAAGATCAGGAATTGCCCAGATGGAACAAATTGCCCGGATGAAACGACATCTTCAGCCTCTTTAAAAATCTGCTCACGGTGGTGGAGCAGGGCAGAGCCTGGCTGTGCTGCGCTGCCTGTCCCCGGTGTCACAGCAGGTCCTCGGCATTACCCTCAGGCCACTAAGATTCTTCCAATTTTTTGTTTCTTTTGGCTTCTGTGGGCCAAAAAGCGTGAACTATGAGGCTGGAAGAAGCAGGAAGAGGGGAAAGGTTTTGTGCTTTTATTTCTGTGCTGCTGCCTGATAACCCGTGTGAAATGTTTATCCTTCCTGCTACTAAGGAATCTGTTAATGGAGCTTAGGAACACCATCTGAGTACATCCCAGTGGAAAACTCACACGAGGAGCTTTACCCTTAACATAGGAGCAAGCGAGCAGAATTTTTATGGTGTTAGCTTCTTCTGCAAGTTCCCTGCAGTACTGTACCCCAAAATGTTTCTTCAGTGTTGAGTGAATGGCTTCAGTTTCACATATTTTCTCTAGCAGCTTATTTATTACAGCTATTGCCAGGGATTAAAAAAAAAAGTAAATCTTAATCCCTCTTCATAAATATTTAGCTCTAGTGTAAGATACACATGACAAACTCCTGGGGCTTTTTGGTCTGCTTGTAAGAATGTTTTTACACTTGCGATGTTTTTCTCTTCTGCTGTGGTTATTTGTAAATAGAGGTTTTTCAGGTCTTGAAAAAGAATTTGGAAAATCTAGAGCAGAAGACAACGTAATTTAAACACGGAAGGAAGAACTTAAGAGATGGGAGAGCATTGAGAAGTTGTATTTACTGGACCCCTAATCACTGAATTCACCATTAACTCATTTTCAGGAGTTTTTTCTCACACTTACAAGCCCTTAAATTTCTCACCTGCACGAAGCTAAAGTTATGCTCTTTTTAAGTAAAAAGTATACTCAGTGGCCTCCAGACGCTTCTAAATCATCTCTTAACACTAATAATAAAACCATGAGGTTCAGCAAATCTACAATTGGCAAATTGGTAAAGAATTGACTAATCTGGAGAAAGGCAGGTGGTGAAAAAAAGCAGAACTCAGCATTTATGACTACTGCTCCAGCAGTGGCAAGTATCTGTCTTCAGATACTTAAGGTTCAGGGGAAAGTAGTAACGAAGTAGAGTTGGAGTAGACTGCTTGTGGAGTGTAGAGTAGTGAATTGAGTATGGAGTAGATTGAAGTTTGGAAAAGGGCAAGCATGGGTACGAACCAGGAACTCTCCGTGGTGGGTGTTGGACACGGAACAAAACTACGCTACACAAACACCAGTATTTGTTCATTACTCCTATTTCTAAATACAAGGTGAGGACCAGGGATGTTCTGTCTCAACCCTGAGAAGTGTGGAAGTGCGTGCTTTAGGTGTGAGTTC